AATGGCTTAGGAGCACAATGCTCATCTATAACAGAAGGTCAAGCAAAAGGTCCCAAGATTGAGACTGATATGTATTTGGACTTTGCAGTCTAGCTACTAGAAAGCAGTGACAGCGAGGGGACGTATATAATGGGACACACAATGGATTACGCTCTGGTTAAAATAGTGGGTGGGGATACATATTGGCAACACTCCTGGAGAGAAAGTGACTTACAAACAATATTTGGTGTTCATTTTTATTTGAAAGGTTTGACCAGTTTAAGAATGCGGTTTTATTTGGTCCTGGAAACTAAGGATGCTAAGGATATGACAAGGAATCAAGAGTATCAGACTATGGTCATAGTGGTGTTACAAGAACCCTCTCGATATGTAGGCTTTCAGACTAATCAGTTATATACACAACGATGGATGTATATTTTGACTCGGAAAATAATTTGGACAAGGTTTGGCGTACATCAAGATAGTAGAAGAGTTAAACAAGAAAACAATGGAATGCAGAGATTTGGAGGTTGGCTGGGGATGTATACGGGAGACGGTAAAGAGTTAGGAGTGCATTATCACGCTTTATTACTACTATTTTCCTATACTTGAGGACTTAAATTTCTGCTCAGAGGGGCCATCACAGAGTTGGAATTCTTTGGGAATATTCATCTTGTTGGTGCTACATGGTTTCATTGTACCCGATTATTTAGCTCCGCTGAGCACAAGTAAATAATTTTTACGAGGATCCTAAGTTGGAACTGCAGAGGTATGAGAAGTAAATGGACAATAAGTTACTTCCAAGAAATATAGCATAATCACAAACCAGATTTCTATTTCTATCGGAAACAAAACAAGATTTTTCTTTTGTTCAAGGATTTCAAGCTAATATTCTGGTTACGGTGGATCCAAATGACATGAGTGGAGGACTAGCTCTTTACTATAACAAGGAATATCAGGTTAAAATCTTATACTGTAGAACTGAAAGATAGATGTTGAAGCAGTAATTTTGGAGAAAAAGTTCACCTAACCTTTGTTTATTGTGAGCCGGTGCAAAAACTTTGAGATTAAGTATGGGAAAGGTTAACCAGATATGGTTTAGTAAGGTCATGCATGTGGTTTGTTATCAAAGATCTTAATGAAATTACTGGCAATAATGAAAAAGAAGCATGTATTTTAAGAAGTGCAAAATCTTTCCTAGCCTTTAATAATATGAGTAGGAATTGTGTATTACTGGAATTTTCAGCTCGGGGAAACCAATGCCATGACAAGGAAGACGAGAAAAATAATTATTAAGTATCGTTTGGACCAGACTTTAGCTAATGAAAATTGGCATTCGCTATTCCCATGTTCTTATACGGAATATATAGAATGATTGGATCTGATCACAGACCAGTGGTGGCGTATCTAGAAGATAAGGTTCCCAAAAAAGGGAACAATTTCGTTTTGATAATAGATGTATTGGACAAGACGGTCTACTAGAATCTATCGGGAGAGGCTGGTCTGAATTAGGAGAAAGAGGGTAGGGGATTTTTTGTTACTAAATTAAGGAATTTTCGACATGAAATTGCTCGTTGTATGAATAAAAATCCACCATATGAAAAGGAGAAGATCAGCAAGCTTCAATGAGTTCTAGAGGAAGTACAAACAGATGATAGTAGAATGCAAGAGGAGATGGTGGAAATTTTGAAGAAATTACCGGATGCTTACAAAGATGAGAAGACTTATTGGAAAAGAATAAGCAGCAATATCTCGCATACGTTAGGGGATTTAAACAATTTTTTTTTTATCATGCATTAACGAAACAACGACGGGGCTCAGAACATGATTGTAGGTTTACATGACGAAGATGCATTGAATAACTGATGAGAAAGGAGTAGACAAAGTGGTAGTGGATTATTTTAACAACTTATTTAGCACCACATCTTGATGATTTCCTGGAAGAGATCCAACTGACTATTACTCATCAAATGAACCAAAGACTAATCAGGAGAACAAAAGAAGAGGAAGTAACACAAGCATTGTTTATGATGATGCACTAGGAAAAGGTCTCTAGCCATGATGGAATGACGGCGCTTTTCTTTCAACATTCTTGGCCTATCATCAAGAAGGATTTGGTTGACTTCATAAATGATTTTTTACTTTATGGAAATATATGGATACAAGGTTAAACACTATAAATATTTGTCTGATACCGAAAATAGAGAGACCTACAAGAACGACTGAACTGAGATCAATCAGTCTATGTAATGTATGATACAAGATTACATTTATGCCAGAGGTTGAAGGGTTGTTTCCCAGCACTTATTTCAGAAACTCAATCAGCTTTTGTACCAGGGAGATTGATTATAGACAATATCTTCATTACACAGGAAATGTTTCACGAGTTGAGGTCTAACAAGGCATGCCAAAACAAATGCATGGCAATCAAAACATACATGAGCAAAACGTATGATAAGGTGGAGTGGAATTTTACCAAGGCATTACTTCACAAGATGGGGTTTGACAATCACTAGATCCAGTTAATGATGGAATGTATATCTTCGCTCCAATATTGGATCTTATTGAATGGACACCCAAGAGGGCATATGATCCCTCAGAGGGATTTGCGGCAGGGTGATCCACTTTCTTCATACCTATTCATTATTTGTTCGGAGGTCCTAATTGTAGATATTAAAAAAGCCGAGCGAGAAAAGAAATTGACAGGAATGAAGATTGCAAGAGCATGTCCGTCGATATCCATCTACTATTCACAGATTTTTCTTTTGTAAGGCCCAAAAGAAAAGTGTCTTACTATCGTGGGGATCTTAAAGTAATATGATGTTGTATCTGGTCAACTAAAGTTTTCCAAAATCATCTATTTAATTTGGTTTTAAGATAAAGGAATCAGCTAAACAAGAGCTCAAAGACATGCTTGGAATACAAAACATAGGAGGGATTGTATCTGGGGATTCTATAGAGCTTGGGTGGATCAAAAATCCAAGTATTTGGTTAACTGAATAACATGTGTAATAGTTGGACGTTTAAGTTTTCATAAAGGTAAGCAAGGAAGTAATCATCAAGTTTGTGGTTATTGCTTCACCAAATCATGTTATATCTTGCTTACGATTACCCTAAAGATGTGACAAAAAAAGTTGACGAGTGAAGTGGACAATTCTGGTGGAGATCAATAGGAAATACAAGAGCAATTCATTGGAAATCATGGGACAAATTATATCATCCTACGGATGAAGATCCACAACTACCCCTTAATAGGCTTACTCTTGGAAGATACGTAGCCCACCGAAGATCAAACATTTCTTATGGAAAATAGTATCAGGTTATATACCAGTAAAGAAAAATCTACAGGCAAGAGAACTACAAGGTGATAGTCATTGTGCAAAATGTGGATCCAATAAGAAAACAATTAATCATGTTTTTTTAATGTCCACCAGTGGTCCAAGTTTGGACTCTCTCGAAGATTCCATCGTACCATATATTTTTCCTTCTTCCTCATTTTTCAGGAACATAGATCATTTATATAGGAGGGTGTCCCACTCCATGGAATATCAGTTCGCTTGGATATTATGGTATATTTGGAAATGACTGAACAACAAGGTCTTTAATGACATAGACACTGACTCTGGAGATACTCTCAAGCTGGCATAAACTGAATCAATAATTTGAGCAGATGCTAAGGCATCACTCACCTAGATAGTCGCCCAATCTAATGAGTTGGAAGTGTCAGGTTTATCTTCCATATGGGGGCGTTGGTGTTTTATTGATGGATAAGCGGAATCGTTTTTTAGGTCAAACATGGTATAGTAGTACTCTTGAAGGTTTTGAGGGTTTGATGGTGACAAGGAATACGAGAGCAAGTCTCTCACCATTATATTCATAAGTAGAAGCACTCATCTGGACCATGGAATGTATGAGGAATCGGCGTCAGATCACGTTACATTTGCAGCGGATTATTCTCAAGTGGTGAAGATGGTTTCAGCACTAGAAGAATTTTCAACACTAGAAGAATAACCTAAACTATAGAAGACATTAAACTCTAGGCCTGGGCATTTTACCCGGACCCGAAGACCCGACCCGAAACCGACCCGAAAAAACCGGGTACGGGTAGGAACCGCCCGAGCAAATTACCCTATCGGGTCTTGTTGTGGAGGACCCGCGGGTCTTGGACCCGACCCGGACCGAACCCGAAATCCGATGGGTACCCAAATTAATAGTGTAAATTAAATAAAATGCATTGAGGGGGAATCGAAGACGGGTTGTTTCTATAGAGAGTAAGGGGGTCAACCACTATGAGACAACGAATTGTTGTTGTATCTCGCATAGTTTAATATATATACACATTTTAATATAGTAAAAACACAAATTTTGAATAAAATTTTGAATATTTTCGGATATATAAGTATTTTCAGATTTTTTTTTTATATATTTAGGTATTTTTTAGGTCGAACCCGAACCGAACCCGACCCGAAACCGAACCGAATCCGAACCGATAAATTCTAATTACCCGAATGGGTCCAACTATCTAAGACCCGACCCGGACCCGGTACGACCCGAACCGAACCGAAACCGAAAATTTGAAATTACCCTATTGGGTCCTAAACTCCTAAACCCGAAAGACCCGGACCCGAAAGGACCCGACCCGAACCTGATCCGACTACCCAGGCCTATTAAACTCCCCAAGAAAAGTTTCAACCAATCAGAGATCATTAATATACCTCAAACACATTACTTAAAGGCAGAAGTCTGGCATGCAGTGCTAGAATGGCATGCAGTGCTAGAAAGCAATTATCTTTTGTCGTTCATAAGAATATAGAGTTACCAATTTGATTCGCAAAGTCTTAGTTGAGTTTATATGTTAATGATAAAAGATAAAAAAAATTATAGTGATTTAACCAAAATCACACTAAATTTTCAATTCCACCTAAAATCATCTAAAACTCATTAAAAATCAAATGACTTCAAATTTAGATTGAATACACTCATAGTGTTTATATATTTATAATAAATGCAATTATAATCTATATAAGACCTTTTTGTATTTAAAATAATCATCAAAATATCATATTAATTCATAATCTAGAAAATGACAACAAAAGTAAACAAGCAGAGAGAAATCAATCGTTGGTTGATTTAAATTCACACAATATAAATATGATAAGAATCTATTTCTCAAAACACAAACAAGGAAGCTGACCTCGAGAGTGCTAAAGACGAGTCGCATTCTGCTGGCCACAACCGACGGCTCCTCCGTGTGTCCCATTACTGCCAACTGTTCCAATTGAAGAGTCTTCACCGGCAGCCTACACTCACCCAACGAACCGGTAATGACACTATCGTAAATATGTATATATTTCATACTCAGAGTATGATAGATACTCTTTACGAACATTTAATTTTCATCCCTATAAAATGGCATCAGGCCAAATCCGATTATATTGGTCTTACCATGCCATTCCCTTGATATAGTATGCATTGGCTATAACCGCACAAAACCCTCTCCATTTACTTAGAATTTCATCTGAAACCGAAGGACTCGATGACCATCTCACGATCGTGGGTTGCGGCGTACACAAGATTGTGATGAAAACAATGCTAAGCCACAATATGCATTCATCCACCTAGCAGAATTAATACGACCAGCTGAAACTGATAAAGACACAGCGAAAGATTAAGCGATCACAAGTTAATGTTAATTAACTAACATACTAACCTCGGACATCAAAATCTTGGACTTAGTTTGTGTGCTTCCCTGGTAACTTTCCATTCTATCGATCTCTAGACCCGATTCTTTCATATCCATAAGTTCTTTTCTCAAATCTTCATCCGTGCAACCGAGCGCATACGCGTTCACACCAGCAGAAATGAATTCCTAAAGTTAAAGATGGTTATATGATCGAGAAGAAAGCAAGAACGAAGCTAAAATCAGTAAAAAGAAAAAATATACTTTTAAGGTTTCGCCTTGACCGCGTTCAATGACCGTCCTGTAACGTCTTAAAAGACTTATAGCTATGTTGCGTGATGAACGGTACTCTTCATCCGAATTGTTGCGTGAACAACAAAACTTGATGAAGTCAAAAAAAAAAAAAAAAAAAACTAAATGCTCAGAAGCTACTCGATATGAATGTATATAACACAGACTTAAAAAAATCACTAACCATCCAATTCCTTCGATGATTAAGTTGGCCTGGTGGAAAAAAGGATGAGTGATAAAACTCTGCATTGCTCCTAGGAACTCTTGATCCCGGGAAGAAAGAACAACTACTAGTCAAATGACCAAAAGTAGTGGCTCTGTATCCGCGCGAAGGGGCATTGAATCTAAAAGGAATGTCGATTTTTTTGATAGTTCCCGAGGGATACACTGCTAACATGTCTGAACCATATCAATGAAGCGATTCCCTAACTTGTTACACACAACAACAACCAAAAACAGAGAAAATGAAACAACTTTAAAGCAAACGAGCGACTACTTGAAGAACACAACTACTTTAGGAAATAGAATTCTAAGAAATTGATGTGGTAGAAGAAAAAAAAACACCTTAGCTTTAGATATTCAGATTCAAACCCTAATTTTCATATCTATTTATTATCGTATTAAAGATCTCTACAAGTAAAAGCAAAAATCTCAAATGAATTAGAAACTACCTGAAATCAGGATCATGGAACATGTATGGTCATTTGATTTCATCTGAATTTAAAAGGTAATAGTGTATAACAAAACAAAGGCTTACCTTTTTGAAAACCCAGATTCAGATGGAGCAACTCATATGAGAATTTTTCGTTTTAAAAGCACCGGCAAACAATGGGGGAGGGATATAAAACAGAAACTATGGAGGTTATAGAAGCATGTATCTACGAGGTGAAATTGAAGCCACCAATAATTTGAATGGCTGCAGTGGGTTTCACAAACGTCGCTGTTGAGGCTGTGAAGAGTCACCTTCTGAATGACAAAGCGGGTTCCCTTTTAGCATTTTAAAAGCCTACTGTCCAAAGGAAGGTGACTTCTTACAGGGTGGACCGAAGATTGAAAGCACATTTTAAGAATCAATACAATTAAAACATGATCACTCCCCTTAATATTGTAAACAAATTTTATTTTTCATTAATGTAATTTTATCTTTTTATTTTAGATCTAAAAATTATATACTAATGGATATTATTAATGAGTTCACTTCATCTTCTAATTATCAGCATGCTGGTCCTATCCTATTCGAACCGCCACGAAACGGATCAATCGATATTTCAAAAAACTAAGTTGCGGGTGTGGGTACGGGTGCAGTTTAAATATATTTTCCGCGGGACGGATGCGGATTGTTCTAATTTTAATTATAGGTATCTGGTAATCTGCAAAAAAAATTAAAAATTATTTTTCAAAAATATACTAAAGTTTGTTAAAATAATTATTTAAAAAATTTAAAATTTAACTAAAATATAATATTTAATATTATTTTTTAGAAAAAATAAAAATAATTATTTTTATTATTAATAATTATCCGTAGGTCCCGTGGATTATCCGCAAAATTAAATGGAGCGGATACGGATAAAATTTGTTTTCTTTGCGGGTTAGACGGGTCGGGCAAGGCGAGTTTGGCCTACTTCCCAGCACCAAATGTAGTTATTTAATATTATTTTACCAAAATAAAACTACCCAATTACATATAATACATTTATATAGATATTGATGATAATAGTAAATTAAAATCTACAATAATTTTAGAAAGTTATATTAGACAAGAACATTTTATATCATCGAAGGAAAAAAAAACTTATCGATTCATTTGTAGATAAAACAAAAAATGGTATACGCGCTTTTTAAGCGTGGATCAACAATCTAGTAACAAACTTATTACAGTTATTTTCTCCGATCGAATCAAGAACGTTGTTTAGTAACTTAACTTTATGATCCATTTAGTCCTATAAGGTTTTGAGTTTTTTTTTTTTTTGAAAAAAAGGTTTTGAGTTTTAAATTCTATCTTTTGTTGTGTTAACACGTTGTAAATGATGTACCGGACCTTGTGGTCAAGTGGTAAGTAGAAAGCATGAGACGCCAACACGTTCAAATTCAATATACCTTCTATACAAAATTAAATTTCATTGTTTTTGAACACCTATACGGATATGGGCCTATGTGAATCTGTTGGATTTCTTCTGATTGACTCATGTTCATGTTCACAATCATGGTTGTTTCCTTGTGATATCGCAGAATCGTCTGATACCTCAAGTTCTAAGTAGCCTCTTCGGTATTTATGAATAGGCTGTCCATATCTTGGTGGTGTGATAATTGGTTCCTCACTCCTTGTACGTCTTGGAAACATACTGCATCACAACCAGAGTAAGTTCTAATCCCAACTTATCCAACAGAAGGAGCATGTTGGTTTTCCATTCAACCTTTTGCGACACCTTTGACTCGATAAAACATTGAAAACAGGTTCCAAGAAAGTATAGTGAACCATGCTCTGATACCACCTAATGTTTTAACACCCCCGATCCAGATTTAGTCAAAGTTAATTGGTTTGCCATGCACCAATCAAACAAGAATATGCACGACGAACTAAAGAAATTTAACTAGATCGAAGATGCTACTACCACATGCCTAAACATTCGACCTGAGGTTCCCAGATTAGATCTGAACTTGCAAGATCAAATATCCAAGAATCGGTCCCTAGCGATATCAAGTTAAGGCTTTGCAACCCGAATTTGAAACCGTTAGTTTATGTGTCCCTGGATAGGACTAGTATCATATGAAATCCAAGCATTTCACAAACCTTTCTTAAATATATACTTTAGTTTCAATCTCATCAAAAATTTATACAGGCTCGACCAATATTCAGACACATATCATACAAATTACATAACGTACATGTTTGCAAAAGGTAAGAAATATACACCAACATATTTGTACTCCTCCAATCCCGAATGGAACCTAATAAGGGTTAACCACAAAACAAAGTCTGATGAGCAACTAATTTTGTTCAGTGAGTTGGATTCCCTAACAATTAAATCATCCCCCAAAATTATCAATCAACAAGAAGAAACGATCAATTATTCCATGAAATATGCAATGTAAAAATTAAGCAATAAGTAAACAAGCATCATCTCTTCACGGGTGGTTAGGTCATCATCAATAGACGGGCCTGCCTCTCTCCCTTGGTTCCAATCTCGATACGAAGTCAATCACATATCCCTTCTTGCGCCCATTGACTCTAGACACAAAGTCTAAAAAGCCGGTGGCCCGGATCACACACTTGCCGCATCATCATACAGCCACACGGTCGAGTGTAGCTAGCTCTATCACATGTGTCTTTGCATCATGCCCAAAACTAATTTTGGTAAAGGCCTGGACAAGGAACGGGCGTCGAGTGGACACCAATGACTTTAGACACTCCACCCAATTGTTGGACCCTCACGAATCATTCCTAATTGGAAGTATGTGGCTTTATAGGTTTCTCCTTTACGGTATGCTCACACATGTTATGCCCTCCAAGTCAAGGCCCAAAGATATAACACAATCACACAAGTATACAAAAAAAAAATCATTAGTATATCACAAACATGTTATACCCCTAAGCAAAAGTTCGAACAATATAACCCAATATCTTTTACAAGCATCAGTCATTATTGTATTCATTATATTTCTAAAAGCACAACCTAACAATGCATACTCTTGTTGTGAAAGCGATAACCGCACACAAAAAATCATAACCCATAACCAAGACTCACCTCAATACTTAGGCGAACAATTCAGACTGCACACGCTCCAATCTCATCGTCGGCTTTGCTTTGAACTTCGATCGGGAAAATATCTAGAACTTTAGAAATCTAAACACAGAAAGGGTCAGGGAAAAAATGATATCTAAGTTCTAACTAAAGATGAAAATAAAATTAAAAACTTATCAAAAACGAAAACTAAAGCCGAGAAATTCATCTTAAGGCTCGGAACTCACTCTGGCTTTATGGTTGGGTATGGTATGGAAAGTGAACTAAGGGGGTGAAGATTATTTGAACAAAACTTAGGTTCACCCCCTATGGTGAACCTTTAAATTCACCTCTCCTTCTAGAACCAATCAAAATGCCACATAGATAACTAATTAAAAATATTAAATGTATTAGAAATAACTAAAAATAAGAATAACGCCAATTTAACGATGCTGACGCTGCTAGCTAAAATGTAAACCCTAAATCTTAAATTATAAACCCTAAACCTTAAACCTTAAACCCTAAACCATATCTTAGACCCTAAACCCAAATCGTATACCCTAAACCCAAAATGCATACCCTAAACCCAAAATCTAGACCCTAAACCCAAACTATAAACTCAAACCATATACCCTAAACCTAAATCTTAGATCCTAAACCCAAATCCAATAGCGTATAGGTTTAGGGTTTGAGTTTAGGGTTTACGGTTTGAATTTTAAGTCTAGGATTTGGATTTAGGATATACGGTTTGGGTCTAGAATTTAGGATTTGGTTTAGGATATAGGGTATGGATTTAAGATTTACGGTTTGGGTTAGGGTATGCATTTTGGGTTTAGGGTATACAATTTTGGTTTAGGGTATAGGATTTTTGTTTAGGCTTTAGGGTTTGGGTTTAGAGTTTAAGGTTTAGAATTTAAAAGTTAGGGTTTACGGTTTAGTTAGCGGTGTCAACATCATTAAAACTGGCGTTATTCTTATTTTGTAGTTATATTTAAATGAATTTAATATTTGTTTTTAATTATTTATCTATGTGGCATTTTGATTGGTTGTAAAATGAGAGGTGAATTTAAAGGTTCAATTGTGGGGGGGGGGGGTGAACCTAATTTTGGTTCAGATTATTTATAGGCTGGACTCTGGAGAATGAACTAAATTTTCTGAAGAATTTATTTATTTAGTTTAAAAACCATTCTAAGACTGTCTATTTATTTTTTCGGACGTACCTTGGGATCCAAAGCCATTCATTGAAGCAGATCAATCTGACTTCCAGTTGCTTGAGTAATTTTCTCGGCCATTATATGATTTTTTTTCCTTGTATGTGTTTTACTCTCTAAGGAGGGTTATTACAATAAATCTCAAAAGGTAACAAGTATGGTTCTAAGAAAATAAATTTGTGTGCTAATCAGTGAGCGAGTTGTGAATTGTAATGCATATGAAGTTACTATCATGTTGATTCTTCTTACTAATTAATTTTTAGAATGTGGTTGAATGAAAAAGGTGGGGTTGGATGAGAGATATCATAAGTACAAGTCTTTAAAATGAAAGGAAATATAAAGGAGGAACAAGAGATCCACATACAAAACACTTGGTTGATGTTCCAATAAAGACAAAGACAAAGACAAAGAAGTCACTGAAGCAGGCCATAATGAGGAAGTGGTTTTGCTTTGTTCTTCATCGAATGAGGTTTCTTTGAAGGAAATAGGCAAGAAGAGAGCTCTGAAAAACTTGGGATTGGCTTCTTCCAAGTGAACAAAGACTGATGCTTCAATTACTCTCACTCAATATCAATTCCTTCGGCCAGATGATGCATCTGAATCTCCATTCCTCCAGAGGATAACTCTATCTTCAGCCATGTTCGCTCCAAGAAGATTCATGATAGGAATGCTATGTTTGGATCTGATGCAGTACATAAAAGGTATGATCAGTTCTTGACTCAGAGTGTAATTGCTGAACGATCTGTTAATGTAGATGATGCTAATCAGTGGCATTACATGGAAATAATCAAGAAAGGGTTAATGCAGTCAACAGTGCTCTTCTTGACAGCTATGTAGATAAGGTTTTGGCTGAATTCTATGCTTGTCTTCCAGCCATTAAGATGAAATAATCAAGAAAGTGTTGATGCAGTCAACAATCCTCCTCTTGCCAGCTATGTAGATAAGGTTGTTGCTGAATTTTTTTGTTTGGCTTCCAGCCACTAAGATTGAAGCAGATTATGACC